AAAGATTTTGATGAAATATTGCATTTTTCAGCTGGACCTGGAAGTCAACTGCTGTTTATATCACACATTTAAAACAGCAGCTACTGCATGAGCTTATGTCCAACTGTTGGAACCTCACATCGATCAGAACGATTTGGAAAGTTGAATGAATTGTGGGGATTTTTTTTTTTTTTTACAGTTTCTGGCTATAATAAATGTCATTTGGGGGATTTTTTAAACCTGCTGGTAGAATTTGGGAACCTAAGTGTTAAATTATTTTCATTCTGATCCCACCGACAGGCTCAGAACCAGAACCCATAAATATTAAAGTATTCCTAATTTGGATTAATTTTATTGTCATTGCAATGAGGACAACGAAAAGTAAGGTGCAGGCCTTTCAGTGCAAAAACAAAATATACAAACTTTGTAAACAACTATATACAATATGAAAGAAATATATATATATATATATATGAAATTAAATAGTAAGCATGAACACGGTGTATATTGCTCAGAGGTAGTGGCAGCTGTATATTTACAATATATTGCACTTATTATGACAAGGAGGCGTTTATGGCTCTGACAGCAGCTGGAAAGAAGCTGTGTTTCAGTCTGTTAGTTCTGGTTCTGATGGCAGTAGCTCAAACAGGAAGTGTCCCGAGTGATAGGAGTCCTTCAGGATGGTGTCGACTCTCCTGAAGGTCCTCCAGTGTGGGCAGAGGGCACCCAGTGACCTTCTCAGCCATTTTGGTGACCCTCTGGAGTTACTTCCTGTTTGCTGCTGTGCAGCTGGCAGAACAGCCACAGAGGTATTATAACTTCTGTACCTAATGTGACTCTTACTTGTTAAAGATTGTTGTTGTTATTTTGCTGTTGCTTTAAGTAAAGTACAGGATAAAGTTGGTTCTGTCAGAGGTTTGTTTCTTCACTGTGCTGCTCAGTCGTTCAGTTTCTCTGTAAATTTTATAACGTGAAGCGTCCTGAGACTCGACTTCATGCGCTGTCTGAATAAAACTTAACCCAACTGTAAAGATTTAAAAGAAGAAGAACGGTGTAAATGATTATTCAGAAGTTCATGTGTCACCACGCTGCTGCTTACAGCTTTGCTCCCGGAGTTTCCCGCCGTGGGATCTTTGACGTAGTGGGCCGTCTGTGCTCGGGTCTGCAGCTCGTCGGTACCGGTCCCTTTGCCCAGAGCCTCCTGCTCCTTCTTTGAGCCCACACAGCCCATGATGCCTTCTGCGGGAGGACAACAGAGAAACAGCGAGACGTGAAAACCGTGAGCAGGAATAAAACGAAGCCTCGAGACCTCAGAGTGACTTGAAAATAGAACGTTTTGGAGTTCAAAGTCTTTATTACTGAACAGAAACAGAATGTGCAGAACGAAAAAAAAAAAAAAGATCCTCGTCTCGTGAATGAAGATAAAACGACGCTTTCAAGCTTTTATTACACAAACATGGTTGTGATTCGCTTTAAGACCTTAAACCAGGTTATGAACCAGTTTCAGTTCCTCTGTTTGCACATGTAGACTCAATAAGTAAACAATTAATTTATTAGATGACCTTTGAAAACACAGAAGGGACACCAGCATGAGTCGATTTGAATCTGGTTCCCTTCCGTGTACAGTCGATGTTATGTGTAATAGTCTGTCTGACATCAATAAACTTTAGTCGTTCCTTCCAATAAAAAACAAACAAACTCAAAGCTCAGCGGTGGTTCATGTCAGCAGGGTGTTACAACCCATAATTAACGTTTATGGGGAAAGGAACTCTAGTAGCCGTAATAAAGGAGGAAGTAAAGCGTCATAAAGCTGGCCTAAAAAGGAGGTTGGGGTTGATGGATGGACCAACATATGACCCGCTGTCCCAGTTTTAAACAAATCAGCCACCTGTTTGTTTTTTTGTTGTAACCATGACCTGTTTCAACCCAAAAACCAGAGGCTAAAAACGATCAGCGCTGTGTTTACCTGCTGCCAGTAGGGGGCGCTAATTCAGGAGATGCTCCTCTGGGTTGGACTGATAAGTTTGGGATGAACAAAGCAACAATTGGGATGAGATAGTAATGGTACCAAATGAGTGTACGAGTGAGGTTAGTGAGGTTTGTTGATCCTGCTAGATCACCATGGCAACTAATCCTTCACAGCTACTCCGCTCTGGAGTTTGATTTAAATCGACTGTAGCGCCACATTTTCCCCTTTTTCTTTTAGGACATTATTCTCGATGTAGATTCTAAGCTAATATGTTTTATCTGCAAACCTGCTGAGTTGTTGTTTAGTAACTGACTGAAGCCTGCATGCATTCAGTTGTTGTTGCAGTAAATGCATCATTATGTTAAATGCTCGCTCTTGATTTGCCGTCGAGTCTGTTTCACACTGCTGGTGCTGCAGCCAATAGAAATTAGAAAATGGGTTAGTATGCTGGTAAAATACTCAATTATTCAGTCAATACCACTGAAATGTAGTTGTGGTCGTCATATCTGCCGTTTTAGAAGAATTAATTGACCTATATTCCAAAAAATTATTTTACATTTCATCCCATATAAGCTTACCAATAGGAGAAGATTACTGGAAATTAGAAATAATAACAGGATATGTTTACTTCAAGCACGATTTAAGAGCAGCTTAAATGAAAAATGTCACAGTTTTTGCTGACATTCAGTGGTTTAACTTCTCTATTCCTACATTTCTTAACACACTTGACATTTAATTTGCCGCCTGTTTCCAGAGGCCACTACTATGAAGTGGGATTTGGGAGTTAGCCAGTTAACTTCAGGTTTAAGCCCGACTTTACAGGATTAGAGTACATCAGCACAGTAACTTCCTGCACACCTGACCTGTTCTGGAGCAGCTTGTGTTTGAGACAACAGAGCAACACATATAGAAGATCTACCTATCAATCAACCAATCGACTCTCTTGGAAAATGGCATCTCCATTATGGAAGATCAAGTCGAGATCAGCGTGCAGAAAGCGAGTTCCATGGATTTTGGGGTTCTGGTTTTGCACCTTTTGCATTATTTGCTTTCTTTTGACATCCTCTTTGGATTGATTTCTACACACCAGGATTCTCCAGCCGCCTTTTCTTTGCTCCTCATCGTCCTTCAAAAAGTTAGAGTTCGTTATGCGTTACCACAACCTGCCTGTTGGTGCGAATGTCTTCGGTTCTTGTCTGAACGCTACCTGACAGCAACAGACTCTGAGGACGGAAACAGTTTTTAGCAGCTGACTAAAACTCTTTTTCTTTCAGCCACACATATGACAAATATAGATCCTCCAGTCGTCTAGTTTTAATTTCCTGTTGCATGCACCTAATTTCAAAGCCGTTTTATTGCTGTACGGGAATTTGTCATAATAATCTTTTAATATTTGTTCTATATTTGCTCCCAAAACCTTTCCAGGGTTGCAGCTCAGTGAAGATAAAACTGCCTGACATGACATTAAAACACATCTTAGCAACACATTAGTTTAACAGAAACCACAATCTGATAATAGTCAGACGTTGTCGTGTACGATGGTGCAGCGATAACGACAACATGACGGACTTTGACGTTCTCACGGTTGACTTTTTTTAAACCAGCTTTCTGTCCTGCTTTGGCTGGATTATAGTTTAATTATAGTTTATTCTTCACCACTTGTGTGATTAGATTTAAAAAGTCTGGCTTTGCTAAACGGGTTCATAATCAGGTTAGCATGACCACAAAAACAAGAAGATGGAAAACAAAACAACAACATTCTAGCTGGGATGTTATTTTGTGAATGTTGGGCAACCTCCACCGCTGCTTTATCCTCCAGTGTCGCTGCTAATGTGCTTTGAAATGCCACAAATTCGAGGTGGAGGAAGTGTGAAAGGGGCACATCACATGGTGCTGGTAGAAATATCATTCAATGCTGAGCAAACAAAGATGCCTTACAGCTCACTGGACGACCGTGACTGAACGAAACGCTTCTGCCGGTTAATTAATCATTTCTACACATGCTGCAGCCTCAGTTGTCCGTTAGCACCAGCAAGCTTTTCCAAGAAGCTCTTTGTTTTTTTTTTTCCAAAGTATTTCCACACAAGCCTCCTTTATTCATGTGTAACATCCAGGGAATGTGCTGCTTTCCTTCTGCATCGTGCATCTGCATACGAGTATCTATGTATGCAAATGCAGCGCGCAGATAAACAGAACAAGGTGAAACCGGAGCGAGAACAAAGAGGGAGTCTGATGCAGAGTTTTATAACGCCGTGCATGTAAAGATGTAAAGAGGACGGCGCTTCCATCTCTGCTCACAGCTGCATTTTATTGCACCGAGTGAAGGAAGTCGTGTTTATTACCTGGAAATGCACAACAGCTCTAGTGTGATTTTTTTTTTTTTTATCGACATCACATTTCTAGAAGCGTTTTTTTAATCTATTCTGCAGAACTGTCTTTACATTCATCACTATTATGCAGCCTCAACGCCCCTCCTGCACCGAGACCTGCAATGGAAAATGTTTCATTTGAATATTTAGACACAGGAAGTGGTGTTTTAGAGGTCAACATCGGTGGTGTTAACGCGCCTGGTTCCCTTTTTCGATCTCCCCCCGAACCTTCTTCCTCTTCTGAAGTCGAATCAAAGGACGGTTCAGGGTTCAACAGACAGTTTTGACCTCTCTGTGAAAGTCTGCAGCGTAATTCTTCTGCAAAAATAACCAGACGTGGCCCTCTTATGTGTGCTTTACTGATCCAAAATGGAGGTCAGCTCAAGGCAGATGGTGAAACGTTGCCCTAGTTTGGCTCAGCAGAAGCATAGTTGGTTAATGCACACGTCAATGGCAAAACACTTTCATTTAGCCTGAATCTAAATAAAAAGCTACATGAATGGCTGCTGAAGGGCGACACTTAGATGTGTGATCGAACTTTCGGTACCAATGAGGAACTAAAAACTGGCATCAGGTTCAAAAACCCCTTCATGTTACAGCATCATTTGATTATCATTTGATTAACAGCTCAACACGGGGAGATGTGTGAGATCATAGTGATGCTTCAAACGGTTGGTTTTACGTTCATATTAGAGATCGCTGTGCCTACATGTGTCCACCAGGGGAGCCAAAGCTGAAGATGATCTAATTCAACTCGCAGCTCAGAGCGATATTAACGTTCCCTAAATGTCTACATATTCTTTTAAGCGTCCATATTTAAGCTCTTTTGCCCTGTTGCAACTCATGTTGTCGTCGCCCACACAAAAGGTTACGTAAATGAGAAGTTTATGCTTAATAAATAACACAAAGAGTAAAACAGCGTAAACCAACAACTTCTAACAGGAAATGCTCTTTGTATTAGTCATATGTTCCTAGAATCCAGAAGTTTATCCACACATTTTTGCATTCATGTGTTATTCTAGACTGACAGACGAGCCGTATCGCTGAAGTTAGATCATTGCATACACGGTTACTGATGTACATTTTACTGGTAAATAACACAGAGCTGCAGAAATGCTAAGCTGGGTCTGACATGATTTAGAAATGATCCTCCTATTAAATGTGTTGCTGAGGGAACTGACCTCCGAGAAACATGTTCTCACTACACAAATTTAACATGTAAATCTGTGTAGCTTTGTTTTTACTGAAACGTGGAGTTTCTCAGATCAGAATCCAAGAATCCAAAGTTTTGTTCTGTTCTGATGATCATCCCATAAATGAACAGGTCAAAATAAATAGATGTCTACAGGATAAGAACTTTATAATTTACTCTTTATATCTCACATAAAGCTTCTTGTAACTGCTAAATATGCTCCAGTGTTTCATAGTCTGGACACGTTCAGCTCTAGCTGTGCTAGATGAACTCTATGGACACCAACATGGTGGTCTTCAGCTTGTAAATGTTCCGCTCAGCATACATCATGGTGACAACAAACAAATAAAGTCCTTCACCACCTTGTCAGGGTGAAGGAGCGATGGTCTGAACTCCTGGTGGGGTCTCTTTAACAACACGTCTCAGGTAAGTGTCCAGACGATAATCTCTGCTGAACTGGATCCCAGTAAAAGGAGTCGCCTCAACTGGAAGAGGTAAACTGGGGGGAATGTTCTGGAGCTTCAGAGAGGAGCTCTAGTGGTCAGGACTCACCAACCCCCCCTCAGCCATGTGAGTTAAACTCACCATGAAGGTTGGCTGCATTACCAGCTGGGCAGCAGTTGAAGGTTTGACTCTTTTCACTTCAAAAGCTGTTTTTTTTTTTTTAGGATGTGGAGAGAACACACATCTCCAGGTAAAGCTGATGGAC